TGTTTTCTTTCTTTCTTTCTTTCTTTCTTTCTTTCTTGTTTTCTTTCTTTCTTTCTTTCTTTCTTTCTTTCTTGTTTTCTTTCTTTCTTCCTTGTTTTTCCAAACCCTAATGCTTTATAGTTTGTTTTATACAAACTGTTTGTGAATGTGCTTTTCTCTTTAAGGAATCAGAGCATACAAAGGTCATAGAGCGAAGGGCAGTCCAGGATGCTCAGACCCCAGAGGGTCTGAAGAGCAGCCAGGCGGTTTTAGAGGACAGCCAGCTGCCTCTTGAGCAGAAAAAGAGGAGGATCCTGAGGAATCTCCGTAACCTGGAGCAGGCTGGCCTTGTCACCGTGACAAACAAATACCAGGACCTCATCAATGATATCGCAAAGGTTCCTAATCACTTCTTCCTCCCTGTGCAAAGATACATAAAAATAACTCTRTTTTGTTTCAAAGCACTGAGTTTAAATGTTTGTTTGACAGGACATTCGCTACCAGAGGCGCTACAGACAGAGAAGAAAGGCCGAGCTTACGAAACTCCAACAGGCACTGACGGCGCTCAACTCTAAAGCGTCGTTCTTCCAGGAACAGATGAACTACTATGATACTTACATCAAGACATGTCTGGATAATCTCAACCGAAAGTGAGTTTCATTTCCTGAACCATGTTTAAGAATCAGTGTATTGTGGAAACAACGAAAGTCTGAGCGCAGTGCCTGTAAGGTGTCTACGATAAAAACMTTTATGGTTTGTGATTCTTTGTCTCCAGGAACTCACGCAGATCGATCAAACTGGACAAAGAAGACAGTAAGGGCAGTAAGAAGTGGAAACCACAGTCTCTGAAGTACACCGCAGCTCGGCTGCACGAGAAGGGAGTAATCCTGGAGATAGAAGGTCTTCAGACAAACCAGTAGGTTCAAAACTTTATAATGTGCCTTTCCCTCAGTGATCAGTCCCCAAACACATGGAGATGTTTCAACAAGTTCATAAATTATCAGCTAAAGTCTGTTTAGTCACCTCAGTTTTACCTTTTTTATAATTGTGTTTCCTCTGCCACGGTAATGATGTATAAATGATCAGAACTATAAAGATGCTTGATTTAGACTAGATAAATAAAACATATGAGGTTTATTTAGTTTCTTTAAACTGCAGCTGAAAGTTCAACCTCAACTATCAAACATGACCTTTTTTGTCGTCTTTCTCATCCCTCAGGTTCAAAAATGTTATGTTTGACATTTCGCCCACTGAGGAAGTTGGAGATTTTGAAGTGAAGGCCAAATTTATGGGGGTYGAGATGGAAAAAGTCCAGCTTCATTTCCAGGTAAACATTTCTCAAATGTGTGGGTTTCACGAGCAGCCCACCAGGCAAAGTTCAGTTTCTCTCTGACAGATGGTTGAGTTTCCTGTTTCTATCTTAGTGGCGGCTGACAGGAAGTACCGTGGAAAAGTCGRCTTTTTCTTTTCCAACAAGTTTTATATTTTGTGTCCAGGACCTCCTGCAGCTGCAGTACGAAGGYGTGGCCGTCATGAAGATGTTTGATAAAGCCAAAGTTAACGTCAATCTGCTCATCTTCCTTCTGAACAAGAAGTTTTATGGGAAATAAATGAGGGAGAGTTAGCAGGAGCAATGTGCCTTCTGACTTCTGATGACCAAAATGAAACGAGTCGGAAAAGGTCAAATGAATTTAACAGATTACATCGAAATCAATTATCTACTTCATGTGTCTGTTTTGTATTTAACTGTGGGCTGATTGTAAATGAATAAAGTTGTAATGATATTCATGTTTTGTATGTAAAAGAGGAAACATTTTATGTTTGCAAAAGCTGAGGATGAAAATTGAAGCAGCGACGAACTGAGCCGAGGAGCAACATTCAAGCTGATCTGCATCAATAYGAAACACTGCAGTTTACCAGTGCCTTTTAAACATTTAAAGAAAATGTTTTGATTCAACATTAAAGCTATAACTGATGTGTTTTAATATGACTATTATAACTGAATAATTGTTTCCTAATGCTAATAATGCACAGAATAAAGTACATATGTCCACAAATTTTTATTTTCTTTTTTTCCACCTCTAATGATCACATATAATTTATATAAACTTTCATTCTTTTACTTCTTCAGGATTAAATATTTCAACTTAAAATTTGGTTTCTAATGACTATATACAGTATTTATTATACAACATTTCTCAGTAAAGGGGAGGAGATCTACAGAGGAGGGGAGGTGGAGTGTCTTCTCTGGGTTCCAAACTAATTGTACATRTACAGAAAAAAACCTTCACTTGGTAACTTTTGACAAAAGGATCATTTTATCTGTAAAATATTAGAGGATGTGCATGATGGGCATGCTTCTGTTTTTAATAGGAGGGTTTTTGTTTTTTAACCAAATGTCAGCTCTTCCCTCTGAAAACGGTAAGTTCTGCAGTTGAACTAACTTATCTTTGTCACAGTTTATAATAAACTATTAGATGTTTGTTGACAATAGTTTGTGCAATTTGTACATGTTTTATTACCCTCTAATTAAAGGTTGAAACATTTGCTGCTAAATGCATTAATATTAGGGTTAGTTTTGAAAGAGCAAAGTTGGTCATATTTAAATGTCCATTTTAATGATTACTCAAAGTATAATCAGGTAATTAAACTTAATTATTTAAGTTCAACAATCAATATTTCTCACAAATGAACACTGGAAATGGACGTTTCTCTTRTTTGATGTAGCCACTCATTTTCTATCCAACAACTATTGTTTTTATGAATTAATTTTTTTTACTAAATAAGCTGCAGTCACAATTTAACAGTTTTAAACATACAAAAGTCCAGTGTTTTGTGTGAAACCCTTAAATTTGTACAACACAAACTAAGAACTATATGTTAAAGTTCCAGACCAAAAAAAAAAAGTACTCGGTTTATTTAATAAAGTGATTGTGCACTATGCATCATATTGTCTCACCTAAACTCTATGTCTTATTTTACTTTGGAGCTGATATTCAACTTCTTGAAGCTTGTTCTCAAATTTATTTTCAAGTGAAAAGTACCATTCCTGAATAGTATGTTAGCAATACAGTATATCACCTGCTGTCTTTTCAAGTTTTAAATAAAGATCTGAGATACCAAATTTTAGATCAATTTTAGTAAAACAGTTTGACTAGCTGTGGCAGCCATTTTGAATCAAGTCAACTTTAAAAGAAGTCTGGGGGAAAGCATGTAGGACAATTACAAATCCTGTTTTTTATGAGACAAAAGAGCTGTGAGCATTATTACTGGAAAACATTGTCATCACCCATCAAATTCATTATYTTGTAAATTGAAAATATTGAAGTTCTTTGATTTGGTTGATTATAATATTCTACTGGTTATGTATAAGGCCCACAAAAACACATTACCTTTAAACATCCAAGTAAATTTTGTTAAGAGAAAGAGTTGTTATAACCTTAAAGAGACAGAGGTATTTGTAAAACCCAAATTCAGACCTAGTTTGAAGGAAAGGTGTACTTTAATTCAAGGAATAAAACTATGGAATAATTTGGGGAGTGATGTAAAAACTGCCGGATCATCGTGGACATTTAAGAAAATTATAAAAGCTGGATTGTTAAAGAAATACAAAACAGTATAATGTGTATCTATATAAATTGTTGTTCTAGAGGGATTAGATGTTCTTGTATTTTTTTCTTAATAACAGATTTTTTTGTTGTTGTTGTATGAACTTATTCTTGGGAAAAGGGGGCAGATATAAGATTTTTTTCTTCTCTCTGCTGCCTTTCATTTCATTTTATTTGTGATTTTGATGTACACACACACACATATGTATACAGCTCAACAAGGCTATAATCA